TATTTACTTCTACAGCTTAGCCATGGCATTCCACGGTTGTCAGGAAATTAGTTTAATTTCCTGGTATTCTGAAGGCACCGTGTCAGACACCGACTGTCATCACTAATATCAGACTGTAAAAGTAATTGCGTATCTATGCGTGTAAGAGAAATCACATGAAGATGGCAGTCACATATCGTGTATACTAAACATACCCGTACACAGATTGTACGACGTCACACATAATACGTTCGTAATCAATTGAACATTGTCACAAGCGTTTAGGATATCGTAGGCTTAATGCATATGAGGACGGTTAAAAGCTACTGAATATAGTATGTTCTTTTTCCTTGGCACTACAGCCCCAGTGAGCCTAGGCCTACCTCCATGAACTTCCGTTCACTTCGGTTTTTCTAGATCTTACACGTTCGGTAGGACTCCTCGGGCTGGTGATCAGCTCGTCGCAAGGCCTCTACCTGTATACAAACACAGAAAAACGCACACCCACAAACTAAACATCCTTGCCCTGAGTGGGATTCGAACCCACGATCCCGGTTTCCAAGCGATCGAAGACAGTACATGCCTTAGACCGCTGGGCTACCGTGACCGGCGAATATAGTATGTAGGCCTCCCCAATTCTGGATGTTTATACTAAAGAAACTTCAACCATTCTTTCTTCCAGTATATAAGACTATGTAGTCAGGAGAAGTAAGCCGACGTTCTCAAATAAAGATAAAGGCAAAGCTATCCCTGTAACAGACCGTGGAGGCCAATAGGGTTGTGAGATGTCGAAATTCCCACATTTCTAGAAAATCGGTTCACAAATGGTGGTGAGGTTATCAGCCTTACACACCGGCCGCCCTTTACCCCCAGGTAGATTCCTGGTATTCATTTCTGTTAGACGCTGAGTCGAGCCCAGGGCCATAGAGCAGTTGGAATGTTTAGGTAAATTGAAAAATCCAGTTACCTCATCTGGAAGCTAACCCGCCTGTAGCATAATGCTTCAACCAACTTCGCTACCGCGTGTCTCTATACTCACAAATATAAAATCGAAAGTAAGATACAGGAATCAAGGGACTTCGCGATAATGCATAGTTACTAGGTGAGAGAAACAGGCATGCCACTCAGACGTATGGGGGACTGAAGGTACAGATCTAGTTTTCTTTACTTCGGCACTAGATGGATGTTAATGGTCAGTTTCAGGGCTCTGCCGTTTTACTCCCTGGGAGACAGGCGCCCAGATACCCATCGGGTAGGAGACTGGGTGGGCCCCAGAGTCGGTCTGGACGCTGAGAAGAGGATGCCTTGCACTGCTGAGAATCGAACCCGGACAGTCCATTCCATAGCCCATTGCTATACCGACTGAGTTATCTAGGCTCCAAACGAGAAATAAATATAGAATTTTAAACGGAAACCCCAAACGAAAGGTTCAATTTTGGAGGCGGTTGCCTATTTACACGTTTTATTTCTACATTTATCTTAAGTGATTAAATAAAATACCCAGAAAGTTGGATATTGGGCATCTTTTCAGAATTCAGAACCCAGAATCGTTCGAGTAAGAAGCAGGAACAATATCCACTCAATTGCTACATTCGGTCAAATCTGATATTTCTGGGCCGAACATGGCAAAAACAACCTAGAAAAGTAATCCCCGTTTTCATGTTTTTGTACAAGTAAGCAATAGACTTGAAAGCTTACAAGTGCGAGACGCGGCGACCTCAGTCCAGTGCAGTACATAATGACAAGCAAGAAACAAGTATTCTTGTGGCAAGTTTATCACCTTTCATGTATTATCTCAAACGTCTTTTATTATTAAGTCTCGGGGTTCTTATTATGGAACAGTTTTCAGCCGTTGGTCCATATTAAGTGGTAAAGGCGCCAGTCATTCTCTGGGAGAGGCTCACAGAATTAATTCAAGTGTCTGGCTTGATTTTCAGTTTCCCTTATCATTTTCTTCACCAATAAGTTTGAGAATGGGAAGACATCAAAATATTCACTTAAGAACAGCTGTGCGTTTTCTGTTGCATGAAAATCATTCGAAATTTAAATCTCAAGCGTGATGCTCATAGAAAGAGACCATGCATATTTTGTAGAAAAGTGATAATGTCAGTTGTTCAGGCAGTCTCTGTGCAGGAAGCCTGGTTATGAATCGGTCACTCATAGGCTATTTAGCAATGGTTTCCAACCACGTGTTACGCAACATCGTCGAAAGAGATGGTCGATAAACAGAACCATTTTTATCTCTGTAAGATTTGAGGTTTTCACGTCAGTGACTGTGAAGAATTCCGACTTCTGGGATGGGGCGCCGTGTAGATATTGTGTGAACCGACGTTTCGGCGGAATATATCGCCTCCATCTTCGTGGTAGAAAAATCCATGAGGGAGGATTCAGCGTGAGCAGGTGGCTGTAGACTCAGTCTTGTCTCTACAGAGTGAGTTAATGTGTCCTGCGATTGATAATCCCACCAGCTGCGAAATTCGCGCTGTTATCCGCTTTTTTCACGCTAAAAACTTGTAAGCTGCGGAAATCCATCGTGAATTATGCTCGGTTTACGGACAGAATGTAATGAGTGAAAAAATTGTAAGACAACGGTGTAGAATGTTCAAAGATCGGTGGGCGGAGAAAAGTTCACTATAAAGAGCGAAGTACTCGACGTGTCATCTGTACTGAGTGATGATCTTGTTCACAGTGTTGCCCAAAAAATTGTGAAGGACAGCGCTTCGCAATTTCAGAACTTCAATGTGAATTTCTACAAATTTCACGCACCGAGCTCACAGGCAGCAGACTTCTTTGACACAAGCACACAGAAACTTACACCCCTATATGAGAAGGGCCTCAATTCCGTGGTAACTATATTGAGATGTAAGTTAATATGCAAGTGTTTTTGTATATAACACCTTTTCTCATTGTTTGTTTTGTTAACAGCTCACCGGAAGTTACTTTATGAATAGCCCTTGTATTTTCAAATCAACAAGTGGAAAAGGAATTTTACTTCAAACTAAATTGGAACGCAAGGCTACGCGATGGGGACCATCGTCTAACTGCTTGAGTTATGGTATAATATCCCAGAAGATAGTGTCCTACTTAACTAAGTTTGTTTCATATATGAAAGCACAAATATATACGCATTCAGAGACCTACAGCAGATTTTAACATCATAGACTGAATGATGAAAGTTTCTGCCCGAGGTAATATGAATAATAATATCGCTTATATAAGTAAAATTTCCAAAATATTTCGGACAAATACATCAGGCAAGTAGGTAAGGGTAAATAAATATCGACTCTGTAATTCAAGGTGTCTGACAGGCGATGTGACAACTGCAAAGAGAAACACTCCTGTAACAGTTAAAATTCTTTGTAGTCATAAACGCTGTTCCGGAAAAGTGCTGACTGTAGTGAAGGCCTTACGGCTCGCGGATTCACTGCGAGGCTAAGAAGAGCATTAACTGGCTACCGTAAGATTGCGCTTGTGACATACCTGATGGCCTGTCAGTTCCTAGGAATAAGTCGATCAACAGACCTGGACAAGATGTGAACCACGTACAGTGGTACAGCGAACAGTGAACGGGACAGAGGGAGAAAGAAGCAAGACACGTTCCAGTTATAATGTTCTCAGTACAGGTTGAGCATATCCCGTAAATACAACTTACGTCTGACGGGTTAGATAGAAGCACTCAGAAGCTTGAGTTAATCTTGAACCTACAAGTCTTGGATTATGACGACAATTCATGTCTGCATCTCTGTGAGGTGAACCCAAAACGTGCTTCTGGGAAATAACATGGGGCTGGAAGAAATAACATTCCTCTTCCAATTATATTTTCTATTTTAAAGTATTATATATAGCATAGTAAAAAAAAAAGAATTAAAGTTATCCCTGTAACAGGCCGTAAAGGCCCGTGGTGTTGTGAGACGTCGAGGCTCCCATATTTTCTCTACAATAGGCTCAAAGATGGCTAGAAGTTTGTCAGCCTTACGCGCCGGCAGCCCTTTACCCCCCAAGGAAGATTGCTGGAACTCATTTCCGTTAGAGGCTGAGCCCACCCCGGGGCCATAGTGCGGCTGGAATTATTAGGTAAATTGCAAAAAATCCACCTCATCTGGAATCGAACCCGCGACTTTGCCGCTTGTAGCACAGTGTCTTAACCAACTACGCTACCGCGTTCCCTATTATATATATAGCATTCCGTTGTAAAAATATTTCTCAGAAATGATGTGTTTGATAAGTAATGATAATTGAAATTATTTGTTAGTAAGATCATAGTCAGTAATCTCGTATCAAAAACTGATTTATGAAAAATTTAATTGGCCAAATTGTTTGCTATAATATTTTCACTGTGGGAATTAATCTCTTTCGGGCAGACCAAACGTTTGACTGGAAAACTTTTAAAATTCAAACTGTAAATTCATTCAGTTTTAACATTACACAGATATATTTACTTGTAACAGAAATATCTGGAGAGTGGTTGGCTGTTCTTGTCTAGCCTGAAGTTCCAGTTTCAGTTTAGTATTTCCGAAATTAAATTCCAATGAAATTCCGTTCAAGTGAACACTCAAAATATATGTGAAAAATCGGACAGACAGGTACACACTTTCTTTTTTAAGTGTTTAATCTACAGTATTTTTGACACTACGTTTGAGCCCAGATAATCTGAAATTATATCAGATTCAGCCATTTTGTATCTAAATTTCATGCATTTGTATTGTACAATCTCGTGTAAGTTAAGCATTAATTTATATTCACTGCTACCACTCCGTAAAATTGAGTAAAATTAATAGTTTTTTGGATATTGTTTTCCATTATAATGGCAACTGGGTTGCATATTTAGAAACTCAATAATTCACTGTGTGTTTCCTCTGACTAGAAGCTCTGCCTGAAGTGAGACGTGCCTGGCGACTGATATTTAAGATCAAGGATGGCGATCAACAAATAAACCATGGATATGATTGCTAAAGCTATCACTGATTGTTATTTCTGACATCCCTGGCAATGATCAGATCCCTCAAGAAGTTGATACTAACCCCCTTTAGTAGGAGACAGGCTACCAGCAAAGTACGCAGTAGGAGCATGCCTCGTTGTCTGCAGCCACTGCGCCCAGTTGGTCTCGCGTCTGAAACCAAGAAACACATATCAGCTATTGCATCAATCCACACTGGGCCGAAATATTATAACATGTTCTAGCTTACGGAAGTAGGTAGCAAGTCTGCGAATTTTATTAACATTATTTCGTTGTTTCAGTTTTCTTATTCTGTCATTACATGTGACGTTAAAATTAGGTTCGATCCCGGGTCTGGTCAAGTGGGATTTGTGGTGGACGAAGTGGTGCTGGAGCAGGTTTTCTCCGAGTACTTTAGTTTCCCCTGCTAATCTTCATTCCACCAATTGCTCCACAGTCACCCTCACCTATCATCTGGGGCTGGTACAATAGGCCAGAAGTGGCCGCAGTATAAGGGACTTAGTCCCACCCTAATAGCAATAAGAAAAACGTTAAGATTACTGGAAATTCCTCTGTCTACGGCCTTCATTTAGGAAGTACTGTGGTTCATGACATACTATACACATTTGAAAAAATACTCGTATGTCTCTATGATATGAGTTTCGAAAAAGTCTGGAAAATTATACCTCCTTTTACTCAAGCTCAGACGCATAATTTGTTTTATTTAAACCCTGGGGTTTTAAACTAACGTATACCATATCTGGTATGGATTAGATTGAACTGGCTCAGGATAGGGACCAGTGGAGGGCTCTTGTGAACACGGAAATAAACCTTCCGGTTCCATAAAATGTTGGAAAATTCTCGAGTAGCTGCAGAATTGGAGACTCCTCCAGAAGGGCTCAGCTCCATGAGTAAGTATACCATGTCTGCAGTAGTAGGTTTTGAGGATCTTACAGTGGTCGTTATGGAGATTTATATTTTCCGGGATGTAATGTCATGTGGTTCGTTGAAAGTCGATCGACGCTTCGGAGGAGCTGTAGTTAAGTTTCAACAGACTGCACGGTGTGATTTCCATTCTTCATTTCTACGAGCATTTATTCTGATTTTTTGCGAATGGTTGAATCTCCAAATCTTCATTCGATGTTAAGCCCGCAAATCAATTCACGTCGTAGGTCAGACAAACCAATACGGATACGAAGTGCTCCCGAATTATGTAAGCCTTCGTTTCCGGAAACTCTAGTACTCTAGTATAAGCCAGATTTTACTTGTCACAAATGAGCGTAATATGTACGTTTGTCCTGTTATAAATGTGTGAAGCAACCTAGAAGCAGTAGAAGTAACTTAACATTGACATGCTTGGCCGAGAGAAGCAAACGGTAGCGTAGTTGGTTAAGGAACTATGCTACAAACCGGAAAGACCCGAGTTCGATTCCCGTTGAAGTCACTGAATATTTCAATTTACCTAATCCTTCCAGTAGCATTATGGCCCTGGGGTCGACTTTGCCTCTAGCAGAAATTAGTACCAGGAATATTCCTTAAGATAAAGGGCGGCCGGCGCGCTAGGCTGACAACCTCACCGCCATCTGTGAGCCGATTGTCTAGAACATGAGAGGCTCGATGTCTCAGAGCCCTATGGGCCTCCACGGCCTGTTACAGGAATAGCTTTACTTCTGTTACTTTTACATGCTGGGCCAGGGCACAGACTATTCCTACTGATGAGGTATATCGTGGTTTTCCTTAGTCTGCCTAGGCAAAGGACCTAGCATTCCACATTATATAATTTTAGAGGACAGTGTCGCGTAATCAACCATAATCAACATAGACTTGTACTTGTCATACATTAATTCGTAACAGTAAGTTAACAAAAACTATATATCCAGTAAGTATGAATATAACACAAGGTATCAGAATTTATCAAAAATTGGTAACATTTTGCAGGCTCTAATATAAAGTGTGATTTGCATAAATCAAGCCTTGCATGACCCGGGGAGGGTGTTGTTTCAAATTTCAGAATTTATTGAATGTTATATAACAGAAGGCCAAAATTTGTGACTGCAAAATAACAGTAAAAGTTACCTACACTACATGTAATACTTCGATGCAAGCTCTGCTTATACCTCGACATTAATTCAACTTCTAATTCAGCAACTGCCATGCTCATTCCACGACATGTATAATGAGTAAGAGTGTGCAGCATCAGACGCTCTGCCTGTATTTGCTGTAGCGACGTGAGGTTCGAGAAGTACACTGTCCCATTCATAACCGCCTATCTATGTAGACTTATGACGAATTCGCAGTCCAGGAGGTGGATCCTTCTCTGCCAATCCGCTTACTCAAAAACTGGGCATTCAGTGACCCTTGGCGTGCTGGAAGACCATATTGCTGCCTACCTTAGACTGCGGAAAACATGTGGTTTTCCAGGAAGTCTAAACACGTTAATAAATATTGATTCTGTAAATAAAATGAACTCCACATCTCCGTCCTTGTGAGCGCATAAGGCAAATCAACCGCTGAAATAATTCTTTTGTGTTCTGGGTGTTCACTGGCTGAAAAATAATTCCACATTCGACAGAAATTCCAATTATCACCTGAAATAAAATATTTCACTGTTATTTGTTGAGTTCCAAATGCCATTGTTGCTCTTAGCGTTTTTAATGAACATGTACCCTGAAATAGCAGCACCCTCTTATGGAAATCCTGTAATCTCTCCCGAAATTATAAGGAGTTACGTACCGGTATATTCACGTATCACTTTCACACTGAAAGCTGAAACACTGACGCCGCGCTAAGCGTTAGGTGTTTCTGTCAAACCATCGTGGTTTGTTCCTTGTATTGTACGGAACATGACATAATTAGGTGAAATATCTAGATGACTTTCGTGAAACTTCGTGTATTCTACATGTTCCTGCGCTTAAATTCGCCGTCAGCAGTGCCTACAACTTTCACATCAACTCTTTTCATGCGTGCAAAATTTCTTGACCACAAGCTGAATGATAGAAATATTCGTTAGTAATGAATTGGAAAGGTTTAGGAAGGAAAGGATCATGGCTTATGTAGGATTTGAGGTTCTCACAGCAGTGGTTATGATGAGTTTTATCTTCTAGAATATTCATTCATTCATTCATTCATTGTTGGAGGAGGTGGGTTTCCCCATGCATTTAGACCAGTTGTTGGTCCATTGTGCATCCCCCTTTAATTTCTACTGTCTCCATACACTACCGGTACTGGTGCCCATTATCAGCGCCACTTTCTGCCAGCGAGGTCAGCCCTCTACTGGCAGTGGTATCCGATAATTAGTCCCTTTCTAGAATATAACGTCGTGTAGTCCGTTGAAAGTCAAGCGACGTTTAAGAGGAACATATCGCCTCTATCCCATCCACCTGCTTTGGTATCTTGCTCGGCTTCTTATTCGACCCTGAAGATGGAAGCTACCAGTTCCTCCGAAACGTCGATTCTCTTCTTGCCACCTGCTTTCAAATTGCTATCTTGCTCGGCTTAGTTTACTACGCCGAAGATGGAGACGGTTTGTTCCTCCAAAACGACGTTTGACTTTCAATACACGGTTTTATATCCCGGAAGAAAGAACTCTTCGGCCGTGACTTAATTTCACCATTTGTCTTGAGGTACCGAGGAAAATCAAAGAAATCTTCGCGTAAGCTAGCAACTCTCCTTAGTGAGATTTTAACCTGCTGAATACGATGCATGAAAAACCAATCGACTGCAGAATTTATTTAATTTTCTTTAATTTAGAAGGAAATTACCCTACTTTCCGTAAACCCAGCTGATCTCTATAATGGAGATCCTTTGATTCGGTGTAATAAAACGTGTGTTGTCTGTTGTCCTTAAGTTGGTCAGACTGTTTGGATTCACACGATCCGCAGCAATTAAAGGCATTAACATCTATCAAACCAGGCACTTCAACAATTCCAAAGACAGCTGCTTCTTAATAACCCAAGCCAATTAATATGAAGTATTAAAAAGACTGCCTACTTTGGACGAACGACTCTCCTTATAGCAATTAAGTATAATTTCAGACTCTTCATTAGAATCAGATCGAAATGACAGTATAATTAAAAATGTTCCCGCACAGCAGCGAGTCTCCCTCGCCAAAATTTATTGTTGGATCATATTCGTACTTCCAAAATACGAATTTCTTCATCGGAGCTATTTATATACTCTATTTTAATACATAAACTCTCAGTAGTCAAAGCACTGTTCTACAGTAAAAAAATTAAACTGAAAATTGTTGAAATTTTGGTGTCAGCTTATTGTTAAAATTTTCGTACCGTATTCGGTTTAGCAATAACCTGTTTCCATTGAATTACGCGGTTGAGACAAAAGCACCTCCCAATTAAGATACGGTAACAGAATTTCAGCTTTCCAAAATTATTCCAGTAATTATGAGACCTGATATTTTAAAGGCCACGAAGGAGTTCTTTGTGGTCTCTGGGGTAGGACAAGTGTAACTTGGTAGGTTACCGACGTTTGGGAGGAACCTGTTGATTCGATTATGAAAGTGTTTTCTTCCCCCCCCCCCTTGGCACTACAGCCCCAGTGGGCCTAGGCTTCCTCCATGAACTTCTCCGTTCACTTCGGTTTTTCTAGATCTTACACATTCGGTAGGACTCCTTGGGCGGGTGATCAGCTTGTCGCAAGGCCCCTACCTGTACATAAATACAGAAAGACGCACACACACAAACTAAACATCCATGCCCTGAGTGGGATTCGAACCCACGATCCCGGTTTCCAAACGACCGAAGACAATACATGCCTTAGACCGCTCGGCTACCGTGACCGGCGAAGGTGCTTCTCCTAGACTACAATTTCTCGTCAACCAGAAATCAAATTAATTCATTCAAAAAAAATATATGTTACGTACTTCTTGTTTATCACTTCCGAGAAATGTATAGCACACGTCTTCACCTCTCTGACTTAAATACCATGACAAATTGCGGGCCAAATTCCAAATTACATCATAAAACACTTACGATTAGCTAAAACTACTGCACATTTTCCGAAAGTCCCACATTCAAATTTCGATCCAGAATTAAGACAGTCCAATGAAAGGTTATTGAAATTTCCTAAGCGCCTTCAGGCAGAGGCCTTGCCAGTACCCCACATCATGTCACGGCCGCTTCCTTCTTCATCCTTACCAATTCATTATTCAGTAATCA